CTCACATAGCTAACAGTGGTTCAAGTCCTGGACCTGGTGGCTTGAAACTCATACCGGCCACATGTGCATGCATGTCTAAAATTCTGACAGGAGAATATAGGAGAAGGGATTGCACTGTGGCCATCCTTCCTGGGGGGTTGATTTCTCACATTCTCTCTGTAACTCCAGTGAGAGCATATTCCCTCACTACATAGCAAAATAGATAGCAAAAATATCTCTTAAATAAAAAAATTACAACTATAACATTCTGTGGCTAGATCCTAAATGTCCAACTCTGAGGTTCGAGTCCTGAACCTGCTTAAAAAACATGCCAGGTGTGTGTACATATATGCCCAAAACCCTGAGAGGGAAATAGAGATGGTATTGCAGCATGGCCATCCATCCTGGGAGGTGATTTCTCACTTTCCCTCTGTCTCTCTCCTGCAGGGGCACCGCCCTATCAGAAAAATCTTAAAACAAACAAAAAATCATTAGCCAAGTATCAAAAAGGTCCATTCTATACAATGAAACCATTTGGGTGTTCTACTAAAATGAGTCAGGCAGCATGACTTCATTCTTCATTGTTTCAGGCTTGACTTAGCCACAATAACCAGGGGAAGGGGAAAGCTGGAACTTGTTGCTATTGCTGCCTCCTTAGCAAGTCAAAGGCCTTTTCTTTCTTGCTCACTAAGAATCAAAAGTCCTTTAGATAAGAAGATACTTTGAATGGGGTGGTACATCTTGTCCCAATAAACAAATATAATGAAAATATGAGGTGATAAGCTCTCTCTGCCTCCTAGCCCACATCCACCCGGGGAGGCACTTTATTTGCACAAGAGCAATTGCAGTGGATCAGTGCCAGGAGGTACTTTTTTTTTTTTTTTTTTCTATAGGACACCAGAAACACAGAGAGAGACAGAGAGATAGAAAGCAAAAAATCACCTCCCAGGGGGGATTAGCCAGGCTGCAATCCCTCCTCCTCCATTCTCCTCTCGGGATCTTTGGCATGCACGCGCACGTGCCCAGCGTGAGTTTTAAGCCACCAGGTCCGGGACTCGAACTGCAGTCGACTACATGGAAGTCCAGCAACATAGTCATTATTCTAACTGCTAGTCCCCAGGAGGTACTTTTTACACTGGAGTTTGACTGCTGGAAAAGAAGTAAAAGCGTATTTTCCCTTTCTTGCTATCAGCTGAAAAATAGCTACTGCCTGGAACATGTCAAATTAAAATGGAAAAACGTGAGTAAGACTGAAGTATTACAATACCTCATACATACAAAGAATTAGGGGTTCCCTCTTACTATGGTCTAAATGATTTCCCTCAAAGTTCACATGTTGGAAACTGCCACTGTAATGAGATTAAAAGGGGCCAGCCAATGGCATGGTGGTTGGGGTTGTTGGATCACACATGGCCAACTTCATGGTTTAAGCCCTAGACCCAGAGGTTTGACGAGCATTCTAGGCATGTATGTGTATGCCCAGGGTTCCACGAGGAGAGTGGAGGAGGGGGGACTGTGGTGTGGCCATCCCCACAGAGGGTGATTTCTCACTTCCTCCCTCTCTCTGTCAAGCGCATGCACCGTAGCAAAACTGGAAAAAAAAAAAAAAAAACCAAGAAAAAGACAGAAACCTAATCTGACTATGGTGTGGAGAGGTGGGGACCTACGGGAGGAGGTTAGGATCACAGGATCAGGATGAGGGCCCCATGGTTGTATAAACACATGGATTTATAAGTAGACAGACACATAGACACACAGCTCTCTTGCTCTGCTTCAGCCCTTACCATGTGACGCTCTGCACCACCTTAGGACTCTATCGATCCTAACTAGATGCAGCCCTTGACCTTGGACCTCCAGAACCAGAAGTTATTAGGTTGTCAGGAAAGTCATGGCACGTTTTTCTATGCAAAAATGTATAATAACTTTCCCGATAACCCAATAAATAAGCTTCTTTTCTTTCTCCATCCACTTCCTTTTTCCTTTTTTTATTTCTAGAGGGCATGTGTGCTTGCCAGAGAGGGAAAGAAAGAGACAGAGAAAGCACCTCCCTATGGGATGTGGTCATGGCACAATTCTTTCACCATTTCTCCATCCTGCCGGGATCTTGGACATGCATGCCTATCACGTTTTTCCAGCCACCAGGCCCGCCCTGAACCCCATAGCCATGTGGGATCTAGCTCTCTTAACACCAGGAGATGGGACTGACCCCAAAACTCTACTCTCATTTAAGTCACTCAGTTTCAGGTTTCAGTTATTAAGCAACAGAGAATGGACTAAAACATACATAATTACATTTTTCTAGTATGTCTTTAAGATGCTTTCCCTCTAAATATAACATTTAATTTTTTAAAAGATTTTATCTATTTATTATTATTATTTTAAATTTGCTATAGGGCATGCACACTCACTAGAGATATAGAAAGAGAGAAAGTAAGAAAGTGAGCTGGTAGCTCTGGGATTTGCCATATGGGAGTCCAGTGCTTTAACCACCATGCCACCTGCTGATCCCTGATAACATTTTAATAGCAATTGGTAAAAAATTTTTTCAGAGATTTTTGCTGTAGGGCACATGTGCTCACTGAAGAGACAGAGTGATAGAAAGCAAAAAATCACCCCTCTACCCCCAAGAGATGGCCAGGCCACAATCTCTTCTCCACCATTCTCCTCTCAGGTCTTTGGGCACACACACAAGTTTCAAGCTGTTGGGCCCAGCACTCAAACCGCAATTAGTCATGTGGGAGTCCAACACCTTAACCACTACACCACCTGCTGGTCCTGGTAAAAATGTTTTAAAAGTGAACTAAACAGAGCCAGCAGGTGGCGTAGTGGTTGAAGCACACCAGGTGTGTGTGCGTGCATGCCCCAATTCCTGAGAGTGTAGGAGAAGGATTGGGGCATGGCCAAACCCCCTGGGGGGGTGATTTTCCACTTTCTTTCTGTCTCTGTCTCTCTGGTGAGTACGTATGTCCTACAGCAAAAATCTTTCTCTCGAAAATAAAAGTGAACTATACAAGTAGACTTCAGAAAGTTTGTGGGGACTCAGCTGCTGTGCGCCAGGGATAACACAAGTGCCTTCCAAGGCTGGAAGTCATATGGCTGATTATAGGTTCAGATCCCTAGGCTGACCCAAAAACATACCAGAGATGAGCACCCAGGATCGCGAAGAGGTAGAGGACTAGGGAAAGGGGATCGGAGCCTGATGAGACCATGTCAAAAGTGTTTATCTCTTGCTCATGCATGTGCATGCACTATCATTAAAAAAAAAAAAAAATCGAGCCCAGCAGTTGGTGTAATGGCCATGTTGCTGGACTTCCATGTAGTCGACCGCGGTTCAAGTCCTGGACCCGGTGGCTTAAACTCACGCCAGGTGCATGTGCGTGTGTGCTGAAGATCTTGAGAGGAGAATGGAGGAAAAGGAATTGTGGTGTGGCCATCCCCCCTTGGGGGTGATTTCTCGCTTTCTGTCTCTCTGTCTCTGTCTTTCTGGCAAGCACATGTGCCCTACAGCAAAATCCTCTCCAGAAAAGGAAAAAAAAAAAAAAGTCACAGAGGACCTGACTGTGGTGCAGGTAAAATATGATGCTCTATGAGGCTGACCTGCAGGATAGGGTCCCAGGTTTGTGTCTGGGCACTTCCCTAGTCATGGCCATGATTCTAGGCTGTCTGGGGTTGACTCTGTTGGGGGTCAGCCTCTGTGGCACACCCTGTACTGTTGACAGACTATAGGGCTGGAAACCAAATGCTGACTGGTTTGAGTCCTGTGCCTAAAAACACATCAAGTATGAATACTCAGGATTCTGGCAGGCTACAGGACTGGAGGAAGAGGAACCCAGTATGACCAAACTCTATGGAGGCTGCTTCTCTGCCTCTTCCTTTCGCTTCCCCCCCTCATGCACAAGCATGGTCTAGCATTAAAAATAGTTACAATAAAAAACACCTTGTTGTCCTGTTTCTCTGTTTTTCTTTTTTCTTTTTCATTTTTGAGAGATTTTTGCTATAGGGTGCGTGTGCTCGCCAGACAGACAGAGAGAGACATTAGAGACAGAAAGCAAGAAATCAACCCCCAGGGGGGATGGCCACGCTGCAATCCCTTCTCCTCCATTCTCCTCTCGGGATCTTGGGCATGCACGCACACGCGCCCGGCGTGAGTTTTAAGCCACCGGGTCCGGGACACAAACTGCGGTCAACTATGTGGGAGTCCAGTGACACAGCCATTACGCTAACTGCTGGTTCCCTCTCTTTGTTTTTCTTACTCATGGAAGGAATAAATAAAATATTTTTTAAAGTTTGTGGGAAAATGGAATTAAAGTGTTAATTTTGTTATGAAATTCTTTTGAATCCAAGTATAGTTTTTCATAATACAATTTTTTTACTTGCCAGAGTATGTATGCTCACGAGAGAGCGAGCGAAAGCATACCCATCCACAAGGGGGTGTGCCATAAATCTTTTTCCTCGCATTAGGATTTGGGACATGCAGGTACATGTGCCTGGTATGTTTTTCAATCTACCAGGTCTAGGACTCAAACTGTACTGTTGGCCATATGAGATCCAGCCACCTTACCTACCACACAAATAAATTTTAGAAGTTTATTTCAACATATGCAGATGAGGCCTTTTCTAACAGAATAAGGGTCATACATTTTTTGACAGTTCTTTTAGGGTCTTTTATGCCCATTCCCAATTACTGTGAACTCTCAGCCAGGAACAAGAGAGTAGAATTTGGAACCAGCAGTTAGCGTAATGGCTATGTTGCTGAACTCACACGTAGTCGACCATGGTTCGAGTCCCGGACCCGGTGGCTTAAACTCATGCTGGGCGCATGTGTGTGTGCGCCCAAGATCCCAAGAGGAGAATGGAGAAGGGACTGCGGCATGACCATCCCCCCTGAGGGGGTGATTTCTCGCTTTCTGTCTCTCTGTCTGTTTCTATCTTTCTGGCGAGCGCATGTGCCCAATAGCAAAAACCTTTGCAGAAATCTGAGTTATGAAAAAGTAGGGTATTACGTTATTCAGGTTACTTACCAACTTTTTCTTTTCCTTTTGGATTTTTCCCTTTGTTTCTTCAAATAACATGTCACTTTTTCAACCTATGGAAGATTAACATCATAAATGCAAAATTCTCTTATCTTTGGTTGTTGGTACATAATCACACCACAATCTTGTGTACATTTTCTTCTTGGGATTCTGGGGATGCATGCACATATGCTCAGCATGTTTTTCAAGCAGCCAGGTAAGAGATTTGAACTGCTCAGTTGGCCACATGGAATCCGACACCCTAACCTCTATGCCACCTGCTGGCCTGAAATGTATTCATCTTTGGACACTAAGTACTTGGTACACTAAAACCTGACATGTAATTCATTAATCAATGCTTGTTGAATGAATAAATGAATTAATAAATGCATAAATGTGCTTACTCCCAAAGCTTTCATGAATTTTTCACTTTCCACAACAGAAGTTACAAACTCATACCTACAGAGGCCGGGAAGGAAATGTAAATAACTTAAAGGTGTAAGAAAGACAACAAATGTGGAGGGGACTCTGGCACACTGGAGCAAACATGTCCCACCTAAAGGGGCAGCGTGGAGTCAACTGGTAGTGTGGTGGTTAAGGTGGCTAGATCCCAGCTGGCTTACTTCACGCTGAGTCTCAGAACTGGCAGCATGAAAAGCACGCCAGACACGTGTGTGTGCCCACAATACCGAGAGGAAGATGGAGGAAAAGGGACTATGACAAGGGCATCCACTCAGGGGAGTGATTTCTCACTTTCTCGCTCTTTCTGTCCCCAGCAAGCACATGTGTCTTAAAGCAAAACTTAAAAAACAGGGGAGTGGCAGCTTGGGGCTGGTCCTGTAGTCTACTGGTTAAGGGAGCCAGATCCTACATGGCCATCTGTGGTTTGGATCCTAGGTACATGTGCATGCTTGCCCCAAATCCTGATAGGATAGAGAACACACTAGGCACATGTGCATGCCTGCCCCAAATCCTGACAGGATAGAGAAATGGAGGAAAAAAAGACTGCAGCATGACCACACTCCACTGGGGTACATTCACTCACTCTCTCTGTGGCAGGCAAGCACATCCTCTGACAATGAAAAAAAAGGGGAGGGAGCTTCTTGCTCTTCCCACCAGTTGCTGCCAGGTCCTAAGATTTTCCAAGATAAGTTGAATGCAAGATGTCTACATAAAATCTGCTGTTTTTAAAATGGTGACAACTAATTCCACTTAAACCTAAAAAAAACCCACCAGGCTGCCCAAACAAAATACATCTAAAGGTCAAATCCAGCCCTCAAGTCACAAGGTGATGACTCTGATATGCAAGATGAAAAGATGAATTCCTTGCCTGATATTCTAATTTTTTAAATAATTATTATTTATTTATTATTATTTTTTCACATGAGTTTTGCCAAAGAAAGAGAGAGAAGGAGAAAGTAAGACGCCAGGTCCAAGATTTGAACCAGTCAGCCATGTGGAAATTCCAACACCCTAACCACCATGCCACCTGCTGGCCCTGACATTCTAAATTCTTTACTGTGAGTTCCTAGCCTACCTTTCCAGAGTTTTCTACTCATTGCTTCCAAACAAGAAACCTCTGCTCTAGGGCAGTAGTTCTCAAATTTTAACATGCATCAGAGCCACCTGGAAGTCTTGATGAACCATAGATGGCTGGGCCTCACTGACAGAGTGTCTGATTCAGTAGGTCTCAGGTAGGGACTATAAAGTTGCATCACTAATAGGTTCCAGGTGATGCTGATGTTACTGGTCTATGGATCACACTTTAGGAATCACTGATCTGTTAAACTACACCACACTTCAAGCACCCTTTGCTCACATTACCCTACCTTCTCAGAGAGTGTTCCCTCTTCATTTTGGTTCACCTCCTGCAAACTGACCCTATGACAGTCTTAAATGCCTCCAAATCCCTGCAGCACACAGGGCTTATGCCATCTCCCCATTACCAATCATTGCTTGGTGCCATTTATTAAATATTTGTTTTTGTACAGGCACCAATGAAGTTGAGTTGACAAAAATTCTTTTTTTTTTGTTGGGGGGAGAGATTTTCACTATAGGGCACGTGCGCTCACCAGACAGACAGAGAGAGACATTAGAAACAGAAAGCGAGAAATCCCCCGGGGGGTATGGTCACGCTGCAATCCCTTCTCCATTCTCCTCTTGGGATCTTGGGCACACACGCACATGTGCCCGGCATGAGTTTTAAGCCACCGGGTCCGGGACGCGAACCACGGTCGACTACGTGGGAGTCCAGTGACATAGCCATTATGCTAACTTCCGGTTCCCTTGTTGACAAACATTCTTTGCTTGGCTAAGCTTTTTTTTTTTTTTTTTTTGAGAGAGATTTTTGCTATAGGGTATGTGTGCTCACCAGAGAGAGACAGAGAGACAGAAAGCAAGAAATCACCCACTGCCCCAGAAGAGATGGCCACGCCGCAACCCCTTCTCTATTCACCTCTTGGGATCTTGGCCACGCACATACACGTGCCCGGTGTGGGTTTGAAGCCACCTGGTCCAGGACTCAAACCACAGAAGATCATGTGGGAATCCAGCAACATAACCATTATGCCACCTGCTGGTCCCTTCGGAGAGATTTTTGCTATAGGGCACATGCACACACTGAAGACACAGGGACAAAAAGTGAGAAATCGCCCCCAGCAGGGATAGCCACATTGCAATCCCTTTACTTCCATTCTCCCTTCTGGATTCTGGGCATGCATGCACACGCGCTCATTGTGAGCTTCAAGCTTCTAGGTCTAGGACTCAAACCATAGTTGGCTATGTGGGATTCCAGTGCCTTAAGCACTATGCCATCTGCTGGCCCTTGCTTGGCTAAACTTTAGTCGGGCTCTGAAACTTCTGCTAGGCCCTTCTGTGCACGTCCTTGTAAAATCTAGTTTTAGTGAAGAACACTGTTAAGTTAGTTTAGCAAGAACTGCACCCACCCCCCAGCCTTAATATCTGATTGTCCTCCACCATCCTACAAGTGATGTCTGATCACCCTGGCTGTCTTCAGCCAGAATCCCTGTTAATCCTGATACTTCTTCTTAGTCATTTTCCATTCATTAACCCCTGTTACAACACCTTTTCTTGGCTATGAATCTCTATGAATCCATGCTGTATTTAAAATTGAGCTCAATTTTTCTCCCCAACTGTAAGAACTTATTGCAGTGGTCTCTATACCTACATCAGCAGTCCTGAATAAAACCTTCATTGCCATGCTTTAACAAGTATCATTGATTTTTTTTTTTCTTTTCCTTAATAAGTATTCCCAGAGATCGACATTTAGGTCAGAGTTTTATAAAACAAACTATAAGTGACTTGAGGGCAGGGGCCCTCACTTGTCCCCCACTATCCTCCTCAAGTTATCAGAGAGCCTGGTGTATAGCTGGTACTCACTAAACATTTCTTAAATGAATGAATATTTGACAGATCCATAATGTAAAATGTAGACAGGGCCAGCCCATAGCTTAGTGGTTAAGGAGCCAGATCCCACATGGCCAACTGTAGTTCAAACACTGGCCTCAGTGGCTACAAAAACACACCTAAGCCTGTGTGCGTATGTGCCCAAAATTCCAACAGGATAGAGAAATGGAGAAGGAATTGATGGAAAAACCACCTTCCATTGGGAGGAGCTCCCCTCTTCCACCTCCATCTCCGGCAAGCACACAGGCCCTCTAGTAACAGAAAAACAAGAGAAAGTGTAGACAAACTGAAACTTCACCGCGTTTTCTAACAGAACTGAGTTTAGTCTCATGCTAATGGCTTTGCTGGATAGATACCTAATAAAAATGAGAAATTTTGAAAGTAAAGCACCAATAGTTATCTTTGGCCTTCAGGAGTCCTTATAATGTCCCTGAAGGGATGTTAACTTGTTGTAGCATGTTAAGACAATGTTTAATAGAATTCTTTATTTACAGTACAGCAATAAAAAAGTAGGACGGGGACCAGCAGTTGGCATAATTTTGAATGGTTTGAATCCTGGACCTGGTGGCTTAAACTCACGCTGGGTGCATATGCGTACGTGCCCAAGCTTCCAATAGGAGAATGGAGGAGAAGGGATTGTGGCATGGCCATCCCCCCTGGGGGGGTGATTTCTCGCTTTCTGTCTCTCTCTGTTTTTCTGGCAAGAGTACATGCCCTATAGCAAAAATGTCTCAAAAAAAAAAAAAAAAGTAGGATGAAAATAACTAACTCCTATGATATTAAGAAAAACTGATTAGTCCCTTCAAATACAATTTGAATAATAAGATTCATGATTCTAAAGACTGTATGAAACAAAATCAAAAGCTATTCACCTAATCTCTTTCACCCATAAAGTAGCATCTGCAATTAGGTGATGTGGGATAATTTATGAGGAGAACCGTGGTCTCTAAGATAAACCAGAGTAAAGCCACAGATGACTTTGTAGAGTAAAACCAGCTTTGGAACTACCAGAAGAGAAAAATTAGAAACACAACATATGTTAATATACAATAGTCCTAAATTCTACGTATGGCTTGCCAAACAACTTCATACTTGATAATATTACAAAAAGTGCAAAGAGAAAAGTTAGTATCATTTGGTAAAAGATAGAATAGAATTGAAGGAAACAAAACACCACCCTGAAGCATATAAAGTATGTTTACTTTAAAGTAGCAGAGATGAGAGCCAGTAGGAGACATGGTGGTTAAGGTGCTGGACTCCCAGATGGCCAACAGCAGTTCAAATCCCAGACCTGACAACTTGAAGATCATGCAGAGTGTGTGTGTGCTCAAGATCCCAGGAAGAAAATGGAGATGGGATTGCAGCATGGCCATCTACCTCCTGTTGGAGGTGATTTCTCACTTTCCTTCTCTCCCCCTCTCTGATGAGTACACATGCTCTATGGCACAAATCTGAACAAAACAAATAAAGAAACAGAAACAGAGATGGTACCTTATGTTGAGATACTTGCTCACGTAATGATCTTGTCGGCATAAGGATTCAGCCAAAACACTCCACATTTCTATGTTGACCAGGAACTATGAAAACTGAGAAGAGGGACCAGCAGTTATCGTAATGGCTATGTCGCTGAACTCCCACGTAGTCGACCGCGGTTCGTGTCTCGGACCCAGTGGCTTAAAACTCACGCCGGGCGCGTGTGTATGCGTGCCCAAGATCCCGAGAGGAGAAGGGATTGCGGCGTGACCATCCTCCCTTGGGGGTGATTTCTCACTTTCTGTCTCTATGTCTCTCTCTGTCTGTCTGGCGAGCACACATGCCCTATAGCGAAAACCTCTCCCAAAAAAAAAACCCAAAAACAAAAAAAAACTGGGAAGAAAGAGAATTACAAAGCCAACTCAACAAAACACTAGTGTCTTAGTCCCATTTTTGAAAGATTAGTAATCTAGGGGGCCAGTAGGTGGTGTGGTGGTGAAAGTGGCTAGATTCCCACATGGCTGACTGTGATTCAAGTCCCAGAGCCAGTACCTTGAAAATCATGTTGGGCGGGGAACCAGCAGTTAACGTAATGGCTATGTCGCTGGACTCCCATGTAGTCAACCGCGGTTCATGTCCCGGACCCGGTGGCTTAAAACTCACGCCGGGCGTGTGTGCGTGCGTGCCCAAGATCCTGAGAGGAGAATGGAGGAGAAGGGATTGCGGCATGACCATCCCCTCTGGGGGGTGATTTCTCGCTTTCTGTCTCTATGTCTCTCTCTGTCTGTCTGTCTGTTTTTGCCCTATAGCAAAAACCTCTTAAAAAAAAATCATGTTGGGTGTATGTGCATCCAAAATCCCAAGAGGAAAATGGAGAAGGGATTACAGTGTGGCCGTCTACCTAGGGGATGATAGCTCACTCTCTCTCTCTCTTTGGCAAGCACACACCCCCCATGGCAAAAAAAAAAAAAAAGAATAGCATTCCATGAGCCAGCCCATGGCAAGGTGGTTAAGTTGCTGGATCCCACATAGCTGACCACATGGCTTGAGTCCCAAACTTGATGGCTTAAAAAACATGCCAGGTTGGGGCCAACAGATGGCATAGCAATTACATCTCTGGACATCCACATGGCTGACCATGGTTCGAGTACCAGACCCAGAGGTTTGAAACACACTGAGTATATGTGCGTGCATGTACAAAATCCCAAGAGGAGAATGGAGAAGGGATTGCAGCATGGCCGTCCCTCCCTGAGGGGTGATTTCTTGCTTTCAGTCTCTCTGTCTCCCCGGTGAGTACTTGTGCCCTATGGCAAAAATCTCTCTAAAAAAAGAAAAAAGAAAAACATGCCAGGCATGTGTGTGTGCACAACTCAAAAGGAGGCTGAAATTCTGTCTCTCACACTCTCTCTAGCCAGCCTACACATCCTCTTGCAAAATGAAGGAAAAAAAAAAAAGATTACCATACTAAAAATGAAACAAAATCATCTATCCAGCAAGACAATCCTTGAAATTCATAGTAAAGCCACCTACGAGCAATTATAGAAGGAAATGTTACCAGATGAATTGCTAAGTATCGACTTCCCACTCTACTATCTGTACTATCAGTTTTCCACCAACAGATGTCTAAATAACATTCGATCATTTAGTAGAAAACATGCAGATTCTACATGCACCTCTATCAGAGTATAAGATCTTGGCATTACTCAAGCCATACTCATGCCACAATAGTTTTATCTATAAAACCAAACTTAATCAATAAAACATGCATAACACAATAAAATCAATGATAAAGTAGTATATTTAAGGTATTCTGCATGTATTATATAACCTTATTACAAGTAATGCTTATGTTATAAATTTACATGTAGGCCTATGTTCAAATAACAAAAATTTTGGACTTTATGTAAACAGTTTTTTTTTTTGGGGGGGAGAGGTTTTTGCTATAGGGCGCGTGCGCTCGCTCGCCAGACAGAAAGCGAGAAATCATCCCCCAGGGGGATGGCCACGTCGCAATCCCTTCTCCTCCATTCTCCTCTTGGGCTCTTGGGCATGCACACACACACACGCCCGGTGTGAGTTTTAAGCCACTGGGTCCAGGATGCGAACCGCGGTCAACTACATGGGAGTCCAGCGACATAGCCATTATGCTAACTGCTGGTCCCAAGTAAGCAGTATTTTTTAAATAATTAATTTTAAAAATATTTTAACTTTATTTATTATTATTTTTTTCCAGTTTGATCAGAGAGAGAGAGGGAAAATGAGAAAGCAAGCCACCAGATTCAGGATTTGAACCACTGTCGGCCATATGGGAATCCGGCACCTTTAGCCACCATGCCATGGGTCAGCCCTAGTTTAATTTTACTTATCATAATTTTTAAAATATTTGCTACAGGGCACATGCATTCATCAGAGAGAAAGAGACAAAGAGGGAAAGTGAGAAGGCAAGCCGCCAGGTTTGGGACTTAAACTGCGGTCTACCATGTGTAAGTCCAGCTCCTTAACCACCATGCCACCTGCAGGACAACCCCCACCCCCATGGTGGGGGCTCACCACAGCAGAACATACCCTATGCAGGGTGGCCATGATGTAGTCCCTTCTCTTCCATTTCTCCTTATGGGATTTTGGGAGCACACATGTGCCTGGGATAAGGAATCCCAGCACACAGTTGGCCTCATGAAATCGAGCCATCTTACCAACCAAGCCACCAGCTGGCCCAAAAGAGCCAGTTTTTAGAAAGAACACCAAATATAGATGTCCTTATCTCTTTCTGCAAGTTATCAATAGGGTGCATTTTCAAAACCTTAACCACACAAAATTAATCTTCACATTATTGATTCCATATCAGAGGTAACCACTTCAAGGACAGTGACCTTCACCCATGAATCCACAGGACCATGACTTATAAGTAAATGAGAAAATGGACCGGAAATACATTACCATCATGCTAATAGATGGTATGCCAAAGGTTTTCAGGGTTCATGACTAAATTACATGTTCCCTCTAAAGACATAATCCAGCAGCTAAGTGGGACAAAAAGGAGGGGTAAGAATTAGAGGTCAAAGACTTCCGAAAGGGGTGTTGTTTTTCCTAAAGAATTGAAGAGGGAGGACCTACAATTACGTCTTAAAGAAATTTTAATTTTACTTTAAAATGCAGTAACAGAGAGCTTCAACACAAGTGTCCTAACGACTTGGCCTCCAGTACCCTGTATCTCTCAATGACTCATTGATTCTCATTGAATGAAAGCATAATTACGGAGCTCCTCCTCAAAAACGGAGAACAATACTCTGGAGTACACTCCTTTTCAGAGGTGTATTCAGGATTCAAAAAAAAAAAAAAAAAAGCCAGGAGGTCGAACTATGTGAAACTTGGAGGAAAAGGGGCTGCGGACGCACGCGGTGCTTGCAAGCAGGAATCCGGAGGCTGGTCCTGGGCGGGCAGCACCGGCCACCCAGGACTCAGCGGAGCCAGGGAGCCCTGTCCTCGCCCCGCCCGGGAGCGGAAAGCCCGGGTGTCAGGGCCCCCGTGTGCACTGTCCTTTGCAGGCTGGCAGCCTCCGCACACCCACCACCTCTGAAATGCGTGTCAAACGTTCGGGCCGGGACGCCCGCTGATGTGCCGTCCCGTACAGTATCAGCGGGAGTTAGGACTGACAGTGGGAAGCAAAGGAGTTGGGCAGCGGCTGAGGCGGAGCAAGGGCCAGGGCAAGGCAGTTCCGGACAGGTTGACTGCTGCGTGGAGCGAAGAGAGGACAGGAGCGGCGGGCGAAATGGCAAACGCCATAAAACCTCCGGGGGTGGCGGCTCCGACGATTGCAGAGGGGCGGGCGGACCGGCGGGTACCAAGCCGGAGGTGAGGGCA